TATAATCAGCATTTTCTCAAAATAGAAACTACCCTTCAAAGGGCTGTTTTCCTAGTCTATGACCTATATAACTTAGCCGTAGCATAATTTCACCGCTAAGTAGATTCTCAACTTTTATAGAGAACCTGTGGTTATAAGAGATATAATGGTTAGAATATTTATAATAGTTATAAGAGTTTGAAGGGATTTAACCATTATCATATATATAATAATTATAGTAGTTTTAAAGGTTATAGAGTTTATAATAGTTATAACATTTTTAAGAGAGATAAATGTTATAAGGGCTTGACCTATATATCTGCTAATAATTCTAATCATATTTCACTAAGTTAATAAACATAATCTATAATAACATTATGCTATTTGATTTACTCTTTGGACAAGAGTAAAGTGTTGTTAAGTCATTGAGTAAAGAGAATTTGTTCAGTAAATCTTGTGTTTGACTATCCTAAGAGAGAGGATAGGTTAACTTGAATAGATTAAGGGAAGTAAAGAGTATATATGGGGGTCAAAATTAGGGATGATTTTTAACAGACAGTCTGGTGAAATTTTTTGGGTATTTTCACCATGATGTTTCAAAATGTAATGTGCTGAAAATTTTTTTGATTGCCTATATTATTATAGACTGTTATTATTATTGTAGCTATCTATATTATTACTGGCTGCTGATATTATTATATACAGTCAATATTATTATATACAGCTGATATTATTATATTTAAAAGATATATATTATTAAGATAAGTTTAAGCCTCAATATACTTATGTATAGTACATAAAGATAAGTAATAATTTTCAAACTTTAATTCTAGCCTTAATTAATTACATTATTTAAAGAATTGCTTTGCAAATAATAATAAGAATTCTTTGATTATAAAGATCCCTTTTGCTATAAAGTCTTGATAAAACATATTTAATTAAAAATTAATGATCAATTTTAATTCATTCTTAAATATAATTGGTTCTTGATCAAGTTAATTTGTTCTTAAATTTGTTCTTAATTTTAATTAGTTCTTGATCAATTAACTTGATCAATTAACTTGATCAATTAACTTGATCAATTAACTTATTGCAGTTTGCAAAATGACGTGTTTTTAATCAAAATTTGTATATCTTAGCTAACATGCAAATTCTCCTGATTTTCACCTATTTGCACGATTTTGAAGTGATTTCTAATTCAAATGTTTAATACAGAATTAATATTTTATGAATCTTCTATTTAACATATACTAAAATAGCTATGCATAATCACAATAATTGGATGACAATCAGGTAATTTTAATATGAAACACGATCTGCAAATCTAATACATCATTTTGCAAATTGCAATAATTGTTCTTAAAATTACAGTATTACCTAAAAAGTATTAAACTTGAATATATACTAACTTATAAGGTTTTCTCATGACTTATGTATTAATAATTAAATTTGGTATTGAAATTTTATAAATTGTAATAAGAATTATAGATCAGATAGATACTTAAACAAGTTTTGTGATTGTTTAATACAAAAGCAAAATTTAAATTTATATATATTATAATTGAATACTTACTATATTAATATATTGATATGAATAATTTGTTTATTATAATAATAACAAAGAGTCAAGAAAAAAAAAAGCTAGCTAAAATTGAAAAAAATATTTTTAGTTATCTTCTAGAATCAATCAATATTTAAGATCATTAAAGTAATTTAAAATAACTACAAGTTTAATATATCAGATATATTATTGTTATATATTTTTTTTGCAAACTATAAATTGATATAAATCTTGTTTTTAAAAACTGGTTTTAATAGATAATGAATTGATTAAATATTTATAGATACTGTTAAAGGCAAAATCAACAAGCCAAAAAAAAGAAAAAAACTCTACCTCTAAACAAATACAAAGCCCAAGAACTGACTAAGGGAAGCCACATATAAAAGGGACTCGAATTGTATGTAAGATACTGCAAAGCTACTAATAACCAATCACATGCTAATCCTCAAGAAGGATAAACTTGTGACTATGCTCTGACACTACAGTAAGCTTTTAAGTAGCTATTCAAATATAATGAAGTGAAGCCTTTCCTTTTTCTTTTTTATTTTCTCTTTTCATATACCCTACAAATGTATAAAATAGCTGTTAGTTTTCTTTAGTTTAGAGGAGTTGACAGAGTAAGAACTGATCTATAATTTGATAAAATAATGATAAAATAATAAAGAAATACTTACCTTTTGCATAACATTTTGCTACTGCTTATCTGTGCTAAATCAAAACCTGCTTCTCCTTAAAGTAATATTATATTATGCTATATCTTGATTCTCGAAAAACATTATCCCAATATTTTTTTTGAATAGAGGTTGTATCATATACTTTTTATAATACCAATTTGTAATATTCTAGTGGCAATAGTTTTTTTTACTTATAAATGCAGTAGTAGTGAGTTTTTTTTTTTATAAGTGATAGCTTTTTATTTTTATACTATAATCTAAATAAAGGAAGAAAATTCAGAATCTAATATAGCAAATTTATCAGAAATAGAAACTGAAGAATTAGATCATATTCAAATAAAAAAAAATAAAAGAGAGCAGCTAAAAAATCCATTTGGGATCATTTTGTCAAAATTAATATTTAAGAAAATGAGTATAAAGACTGGAAATGTAATTATTGTCAAAAAGAAAACTTATATATATCTGATATAAATATATATAACTATTTGGGGCTTATTTGTCAAAGTGTACTATTTAATATTAAACAAGATTGCCTACGTAATTTTCTTGTATCCAAAAAAAAAATTATATATAAAATTGCTAGTAGTATACCATTATGAATTGATAGCAAATTTCAAAGTATTAGTATAATAGATTCTGGACAAGACCAATTATATAATAAAGCTTTAATCTGATTCTTAGTATGCTATGGAATTCCTTTTTGGATTGTTGAAAGTCTATTTTTTTTAGATTTTTGTCAAAATTTATGCATCTTATATAAATTACCTAATCGAAAAACTTTAAGTAATAATTAGCTTAATTATAAAACAGCATGTATTACGATTGCAATTGAAAAAGAACCTGAAAATAAAAATAACCTTACATTAGGTATATGATTTATTTATAAATTTATTTATTTATTTATTTATTTTATAAATTTATATTATATATTGTTAGCTTTGAATAGTTAGACTAGTAATTATGAATATTCATATTTTGCTTTTATTATTATAACTTCTAATAAAAAGCAATATATATATTTAATTTAAGATTATTCTATCAATTCTCATACAGCAATATTTATAGCTGATGAAATAGAAAAGGTTTTAATTGATATTGGTATTGATAAGTTTAGTGCTATTGTATCTGATAGTGCATTTGCAATTTTATTAGCAAAGCAATATTATTAGCAAAGCAATATATTTCTGATAAATATTCTAAAATATTACTAGTTTAGTATATTGCTCATCATATTTAGTTAATTTATAGTAACATAGTTTGCAAATCCTTATTTGAAAAAAAATATTACAATAATGTCAATTTTTTGTTACATATTTTCATGCATCTCATTGATCTGATATAATTCTGCATAATGAAATTATTAATTTTATAATAAATAAAGAGAAGTTAAAAAGTTCTGTTTGTTCATATTGATTATCTGCATATGATTGTATACAATTAGTTCTTAATTTAAAAAATTGTATTAAACAAATAATCTATTTAATATATATATATTAATCTTTTATTATTATATATATAATAATAATAATAATTAATAATAATTTTATTTTATATTTTAGATAATGACAATTTAGCTATAATATTAGAATTACGAAATCTTACACGTGATCATTAATTTTGAGCAAATGCAAAAGTATTAGCAAAAGTTTTAGTTCCTGCTAAAAATGCAATTAAATTAGCAGAATCCAAAGTAATTACAACTGCAGATATTTTTTTATTTTTAATTCAAATGGCAATAGCTATTAATGTACTTAAAAATAATAATTTAGTAAAATATATTGAATTTTGTAAGCAATGTATTCAGTTTTATAACAAATGCTAGAAAGAATTTGATATAAAATTTTATCTTTTAGCTTACTTTCTTCATCTTAAATATCATAAAAAAGGTATGAAAGATATAGTATTTCAAGATATTTTGCGTATAGCTTTTGAAATTTGGAAAAAGCTTAGAGATAGATTAGCAAGTGCTAATATACTTGTAGCACAAATGAAAATATATAATGTATTTGAACCACCCTATAATTATACTTTTATAGAAAGAGTTAAATTACTACAAACTTAGTGGTATAGTTGTAAAATATCTGATTATTATCTACAAAAACTTGTTTTGCATTTATTAGCAATTACTCTGCATAATGCAAGTTGTGAGTACATATTTTCAATTTTAAGTTAGATTACACAGAAAAGACAGAGCAGATACATAACTATTTTAATCTGATACAAATATTAATTTGATATATAATTATACTAAAACTCAGTTTAATATTTATTATTTAATCATACTCTAATTAGATTAGTCTAAACAATTTAAAACTAATTTAGTTATTGTAATTTACTATAATGATAACAAAATTAGTTTTGAGTTATTTATTGCAGCTTGTAAAATTATGTAAAATTTGTAGATCAAAAAAAAGAAATTGATAATTTCTGATTTCTGATTTTCTTAATATTATACAATTATACTTCTAATAATATATGTAATATTAAAGTCTTATCTAAAAGTCTAAAAAAAAATATTAGAAATTAGAAATCAGAAATTATCAATATCTTTTTTTACAAATTTCACATAATTTTACAAACTGCAATAAACCAATCTAATTACTGTAGTATGCAAAGTAATTAACCTAATTATCATTATTAATTACTTAATTTATACTTTTAATAATAGAATTACTGTTGAAAAAGTATCAAATATAGCAAAAATGCATACCTATTATATAGCTAATGCCTAAAATGAACTTAATTATATTAATCACACTATTTCTGAATCTGATTATGAGAATGATATGGAAAATTATACAAATATGGTTGAGTTTGATAATGATATGTTTATTGATGATGGGGAAGAAAGTGAAGAAGCTGATGCTGATTATATATCTGATACTAAGAATTTGGATGATCTTTTGCAGTATAATGATAAAGATTTAGAAATTGAAGAAATGTTTAATTTCAATATTTTTTTAAAGAAAAAAAAATATGAAACAACGAATAGTAATGTAGAATCAGAAGAAGATGAATTGGATTAAGACATCGAAGAAGTTATTAATGCATTTACAAGTAAAGTATAAATTTGCTAGTTTTAGCTTAGTATTATTCATTTATTTTTTTAATTTTTTAATAGTTGAATTGTTTTTTTTCTTGGTAGCCAAGTTTTTTTTTAGTTCCTTATTCAACTATTTTATATTTTATATTATTTCTATATAACGGATTTATATTATCTAACTTAAAAAGCTATTTTATATAATCTTTTTTTATCTATATAAATAAAACATATGTACATAAATAACTAAAATTTTACAAACCTTACTAAAAGAATTCAGTATACTAAAGCTTGCAGTAAAAACCTTCACTATAATTATTTCTTAATCTAAAGATTACTTTTTTATTTTTCGACATTCAAAAATATTTTGACATTTTCTAAATAATTGCGACATTCAAAATTATTTACGACTCCCTAAAATATTTATGACACGATAAAATATTTACGACACCCTAAAATAATTTCGACACCCTAAAATAATTTCGACACTCTAAAATATTTATGACACTCTAAAATATTTACGACACCCTAAAATAATTTCGACACACTAAAATAATTTCGACACTCTAAATTATTTACGGTTTAGACTATCTAAAATAATTTTCGCCATTTTAATTTTCGCCATGAGCAAAATAATTTCGACCCCCATGTATAGTTAAGAGACTCAATAACGTTAAGACCAACCACGTGACCGGAGTCCGAACTATAACCGAAGCCTTGGAATTCCCTTTCCTAATCACTACGCCGTCTTTCGATAGGTTATTATAGAACGTCACACGAAGATCCTGTAGATTGAGCGACCGACTCGCCGTTTTCCCGGACGACAATACGTACCTTGGGATCTAATGGACAAAATTTAACGATTTTGAAACCATTCAAACCGTCTCATCGAGACGCATAGAATGGTTCCAAAATTTTTAAATTTCAATTACTAGATTATGAGATGCTCAAACATTTATTAAATACGTTTAAATCGTAATATCTCATTATCTAGTAATTAAAATTTTTCAATTTTAGTATCATTCGATCTGTCTAATGAGACGGTTCGAATGGTATCAAAATCGCTAAATTTCGTTCATTGTATCACAAGATATTATAAATTTGTTTAAAACAGGCCACTATGTAATTACTTTGATTTTGGGCCCTTATATGTAATTATTTACATTTTTGGGCCTTTGTTTGTAAATTCCTCTTAATTTTAACCGATTGAAAATGATTTAGAACAATTTTTAATGCAACCTTATTGTAATTAAAAAAATTCATGTTAAATTGACATTATGTTAAAACATCAAATAAAATTAAGTTTTTTAAACACCTTCATATCGGTTTTACATTCTCAATCTAAAAACTTAATGTATTCATAAAGATTATTTTCTTGATTATCAACCAATTTTAGCTTAAAAGTAATATAACATTGATAAATTATTTGACTAAAAAATAATAGAAATTTTAATGGATTAATTAGATTTATTATTATTATTATTATTATTTTGTAAACATAAAGAGCAGAATATAGCTAATCTTGAAGAATTATTACCGAATTTAAAGTTCATAAAAGAACTAATAGCTTATAGGATTGCAAAGTTACGAGCGTTATTTTTAAATTTACAAATATTAACAATCGACGTAAATTGAGAAATGATTATTATTGTACAATATAAAAAATACAATACGTAATCGGAATATTTGATCAGTAAAAAACTGCGGTTATATATCAAATAAGGCAGTTTGTATTACTTGAATCGGACCATTTAAAACCTACGAGTAGTCATTGTGGAACAATTATAAATTCTTTCCTTCTAACATAGACTCATTATAATCATCTTCAATTTTCAAAACTTAATTTAAAACAAAATTGTATTTTGTTCATTAATGGATCCATCAGTTACACCTTTTCATCTTATCCCCGATTG